GTCATTGTTGATGACATCAGAATATCTTTTTTAAAATACTTAAATTTTACAATTGTACCTCTATCTTAATTTAGGCTAAAGGAAAGCAGACTTCACTTGAATTTATTTGTAAATTTGAAATTCAATTATTAAGTGTCTAATGAGATACAACAGTGAGTGCAAACACGAAATCAGTGAACAGGACAAAAGAGAGCATATTTCCGGCCTCTTGAGTTTCCCCTCTCCATGATTTGACAAATAGCAATCAGTAGGGTAACAACTAAATTTGGTGAATTCATTATAAATGACAAATAGAGTAAAGAATGAATAACAGCTAACAGGAATGAGGGGAAGGCAAATGCCAAGGGAAGAAAAAAATAAAGCAAAACAAATAAACACAAAACATTACTATGCTTTAAGAGCAGAATTATTTTCAAGGATAATTTCTGAGCTAATTTTCACATGGAATTTATGATATTGAGGTCTTTGGTCCAAGGTTAGACATTATTAGTATATTACCTATATATGGAACTTCTGATTTTATTTTAATCTTATAGGTAAAATATCCATGAAAAATAAAAATACAACAGCCTGAATTTTGACAGTTAACTGAGGTCTGAAACATATTTACAAGTAAGTGAGAAACTGCTGCTCTCTGCCATATGGGAGTAGAAAGTTCTGGGAAAGCATTCCCACACAAATTTTTAAAGCTCTGAACAAGATACACAAAGCAATTATTTTCAGACAGAACAACATGAGCGCAGTGAAAATGTGATCTATAAGAATAAGGGAAACAGCATGATCAGTCGCAAAACAGGCTCTACTTTACTCAGATGTATACATACATACATACATACATACATACATACATACATACAATGTACCTACATGTACAAATAAACATATGCATGTGTTCCTACTTAAAAATAAGATAATCAAGTAGATCACTGCAATTTCACTGAATTGAGAAAACAGAAGACAAAGATTTATTTTCAGAGTAAACAGGTGAAAAAATGAATTTGTAGGAAAAACGATATATTAAAAACCCTCATAATCTACTCTGAGGTCCTTAAGCTACTTGGCTGCTTAACATGCTCACATACAATTGATAAGAGTACATGAAGCTAAGCAAAGGAAAATGATTCTGGAGAAAAACATGCACAAAATAAGAACCAAATCTTTTGTGCATTTAGAAAAAAATATATTAAGAGCATGTAATGGAAGGATCTTATTGAATGCCTCAGATGACTATTAGGGACTCCAGAGAGGCCACTTCAAAAATATGGACATAAACCAATTCCACAGTGCAGAAAATACTGACAAATGAAATGTGATCAGCTAGGGTACAAACATTTACGACCACCCTGTCAAGCCTTCACATCTCCACTCCTCCATATATCTAGGTAGGACAGCTCCTGGGATAAGTGGAAAAAGAACCATGTGCAAAGTTATTCCAGTTTCTAGCTACTTTGAATGAAGAGATAAAGCTTCTATGAACATAGTTGAACAAGTATCCTTGTGCTATGGTAGAGCATCCTTTGGGTTTATACTCAGGAGTGATATAGCTGAGTCTTGAGGTAAATGTATTCCCAATTTTCAGAAAAGTTGCCATATTAATTTCCAAAGTGGTTGTGTAAACATGCACTCTTACCAGCAGTGGAGAGTGTTACTCAGGTATAAAAACAATGACATCACAAAATTTGCTGGCAATGGATGGCAGTAAAAAAGATTATCCCGAAGGAATTAACCAGAAAGACAAACATAATCGGTGCCTAGGCCAACTGTCATCAGAGAGGCTTTATCCAGCAACTGAAGGAAACAGAGTCCAACAGCCAAACTTTAGACTGAGCTCTGGGAATCCTGCAGAAGATGGGGAGTAAGGATTGTCGAAACCAGAGAGGTCAAGGACACCACAAGAAAACCCACAGAATCAACTAACCTGTGTGTAATGTGGTTCATGGAGACTGAACTGCCAGCCAGGGAGCCTGCATGGGACTGCATTATGTTACTCTGGTATAGTTTGTTCGTCTAGTGGAACTCCTAAGAGTGTGAGCAGGGACTGTCTCTGACTCTGGTACCTGTTTTGGGAACCTTTCCTTCCTACTAGGTTGCCTCATCAAGCCTTACTGAAAAAGGAGATGCCTAGTCTTAACTGCAACTTGATAGACCATGGCTAGCTGATAACTCAAAAGACACCAGCCTTTTCTGTAGAAAAACAAAGGATGAAGAGAGGATGAAGGGAGGGGAAAGAGAGGAGAGAGGGAAAACATTGTCAGCATCAGGTTAACAGGCTGATCTTCTCATAATTTCTTAGAAGCCAGGTTCATAGTGACAGGGGGTTGGAATGGCAAAGAAAAAAAAAACTGACTTTGTCATGATGTGTCTCTCTGGAATTGTGTAGGCCCAAGTCTTATTTGAGTGTGGAGTGTTTACTCCTATGGTGTTCTCTGAGAGATATCTGAGATATAGGCAATGCTCTATTTTGCTTTATCTGGCTTGGTAGTCCACAATTACTTAGCTGATAACAGCATGCAAATTGATAAGTCTATTGATAAGAATGCTGAATTTGTTATGTTTTATCCTAATTTTATTATTTCTACTATTAAAAATTTCAAAGACATTGAAAAATAATTTGTGTTTGTTCAACTTTTTCGGGCAACTTCTTTTTTTGTCAAATATTTAGCCGATTTCTTTTTGTATTACTTTATAAATAATACCCTTCAAAATTTCCACTTTCTTCCCTCCTCCCGCTCCCCTCCAGCACCCCCACTCACCCTCCCCGTTTCTCTCCAATCCTAAGAGAGAGCAGGATACCCTGCCCTGTGGAAAGTGCCAGGCCCTCCCCACTCCATCCATGCTTAAGAACGTATGTATCCAAATAGAATGGGATCCCCAAAAGCCAGTACATGTAGTAGAGACAAATCCCAGTGCCATTATCATTGGCTTCTCAATCTTCCCCAATTGTCAGCCACATTCAGAGGGTCCAGTTTGCTCATTCTGTCCCAGTCCAGCTGGATTTGGTGAGTATCCACTAGCTCAGGCACTCTGTCTCAGTGGATGGACCAACCCCTAGTGGTCCTGACTTCCTTGCTAGTTCAACTCCTTAGCCATTGGCCAGCTTCTTAAAGAACTTTTTTTAGACTATTTGTTTCCTTTATTGCGATGATGTGTGATTAAAATGTGTCTGCATTTTCTACATGAAAATTCTGATTTACCCAGTCCAATTAGATATTGAGGGACACACAGCTTAAATCATTGTAAAATAACATAAAATAAATTGAAAAATATATTGCTATGTATTTTTTATATTATGGTTCTGTTCTATTTGGGTTTAAATTTTGTGTTTCTAATGAAGGAAAACATCATAACTCGATTATTTATAATATTGTAACGTCAAAATCATTCTATATTAAATAATTGATGTTCGTTTGAGAGTCATTAGTAGTGATGTTAGTGTTCTCAAGAATTGTATGTGCTCATGGAAATGCCTGTGTGCCCTGATGCCATCCTGACCTAGTGTTAACCAGCTTTTGTGTAAGTTGTTTTCACTGTTTTGTTCAAGCTGCTACAGTCCTAGAGCAAAATAAAATGCATCACTCATAAGTAGCAGATTAAGGAAGCCTGAGGTCAAAGTGCAAGCACATCCAGTGTCTGACTAAAAGTGACTTTTTGGTTCCTAGTAAATGTGTTCTTGGCTAAAGAACAAGTTGTTATAAGGGGTCCTGGGAGGCTTCTAGGTTTTCTTTTATAAAAACTCTACCTTTTCTTTGTAAGAATACCATTGATGGGAGGGGACCTGAGGACTTTTTAATGTTCCATGTCCTGATGAATTCAGAGAATTAAGAAAGCAACATAAATACCCTGGGTTGAGATCACAAAAATAAAGTAAAATAAAATGTATATATCAGTTACCAAGTATTGACAACAGGCTCTCCTTTCTGTATTGCCATATTCAACCCAATATATCTACTTTTATCACACATTGATGGGAGAGGTTATTTTCATCTTCTTTGTCCTAGAAACTACTGATGAATTGAATTTTCTTTATTTCCACTGTCCACTAAGGCAGCTCCTAGTCATCCGTGGCTCTAAATATGTGATGGGTGGCTAGTGTATCTAAAGAAATTCATTTACTTAATTAAACTTGAACATCAATATGAATCTATTGGCTACTCAATGGCAATGCTAACCCACAACATCCATTTCTGGAAACTACCTGGTAATAAAATATCTTATTTTCTATTAATCTGCCCTAAATTTATACAATGGCTTAAGTGCAAGATTTTTACATTGAAAATGTATTTGCAATTTGATTTTCATAGCATCCTTACATTCCTAGTACATTTAATTCCAACTGTTTCTCATCACTGTACACACACACGTATGCACATATACACTGTTGAATATAAAAATAGAATAAATGTTTTAACTTTTACTGTTGTATGAACAATATGATGTTTTCTGCTTGGGTTGTCACTGTAGTTGCTTATTTTGTTTTCTTCAAATTTTCAAATAAATTTATATGAGAAATTCCTATTGTTTATGTGGGGACTGTCATTATGACTAATACTGGACCCATTCTTTTATGATTCTGGCTATGCTTAATATTGTTTAGCAACTGTTCTCTCAGTCTCTAATGTCCTATCATTTAGTATTTCTGATTAAATTAGAAATTAGATCCTATATGTAAATAGTAAGTGTTCCCAAAAAGAAAATTTCAGCTAAACATGATGGTAAAAGATTGTAATCACAGTTCTGAGATAGAAGTAGGAATATTAGAAGTTCAAATCCATACCCATGTGCATAGTAAGTTTGAATACAGTGTGAAATATAGAAGACACTGACCCAAAACATCAAAACCAAAATCAAGATGATATCAGTAGTTTTAATATTTAAACTTTAACCATAGATGTGATTATCTGATAAATTAGTTACCTTACTATTTTTATTCTGTATTATCAATTTAATACTCTATTGCTAAATTTATTCTTAGGATATTTTTGGATATCTTATCATTTCAGGATCATCAAACAATTTTGAGAGCATGGGCTGTGAAGGATTTTGCTCCAAATTGTCCTTTGTATGTTCAGATATTAAAACCCGAAAATAAATTCCACATTAAATTTGCAGGTAAGCTTTGGTCTTTACTGACAGTCTTCGAATTCTTCCATGAAATTCCTCCAGACTCTTTTGCTATTTATTGTTTACATTTATAAAGTGGGTGACAATTCATTAACTCATGGTCCTGAAGGGCAGGAAAGATTCTCTTTTAATTATTTACTTAAAATATAAGAATTCCTCAGATGCAATAATATAATATTTGGGATGAATCTTTCTTTTGTCATTTAACTTGCTGTTTTTATCACCAGAGTTTACCGTGCATGTTTTTAAGTTTATTTGTATTTTTATTTATTTTTTTTAAATTTATTAAGCCTTTTACTTAAGCAAATACATGTTTACATCATTTTCTCATTCTCAAAGAAGCTGGGAATAAGTTTAATGTTCAGTTCTCTGCTGTATTTATTACTCAAAACACAAATTACCTTAATCTATAGTATATTACAGTGTGATACATTAATATACAATCTTTAATTTGAGTTATAGACTTAAAATAATTCAAGCAAAATTTAAATCTTCTGTTTTGTGGCTTTAGAGACACTATTTTAAAGGGGTACATTGGCTAGGGAGATCATGCTTTGCATCATTAGTTAATTGAACAATAAAAGTATGTTAAATTATTTTTTTCCTAAATGCTTCTGTGAGAGAAAGGCACAATTTTGTGTCCAATCAATAATTCATGTACTTTTCTCCGCAATCCGGCGTGTTCTGTATTTTGTTTATTTTGTTTTAAGTTGCCTCAACAATCAAAGCTTAAATGGTTATTAAAATGTAAGTCCTTTAAGCAACATGACACAAGTTATTTTGTACACAATGTGTCCACATAAGTTAAATGCAACTTGTTGGTTTATTATACTGAAATAAACATTATAAATTAATTTTAAATAATAAGAAACTAATGAGGTGGTGTTACCGAGTTAGTTCTACCATGTCCTGACCGTATCACAAATGACTTAATCAGTTGCTTTTCAGAAAATGTATATAGGACAACCTAAAACACCGACTCTTTATGTTGTGTATTATTACACTTTGTAAGATCTTTAGAAAATACTCATTGCAGGAGGTCTGATTGGAGTGGTCTGAGGTGGTGGTTCCAAGGCTAACAAAGCTGAAAAATAGACATGAGAATCATTCAAGAAAGATGCCTTTGTGAAGGAAATGGAAAAGTATATGGGAAGTACCTCATTAGAGTTTTTCCATAATCCTGTTTGCTGTAAACATTCATATTTTTAATTGTTATTGTCAAATTTAAAACAACATATTAGGGTAGCATTAATGAATGATCAGTAATCAAAATATTAAAGTTTTTAATCTGAAAAGCTCAGGTATGCAAATTACTATTCAGAGTGATGCTTTCCTTTCTTACTGAAAAGTTGCCTCTGTTCCACCATATAGGGTTAGTGGTGAGGATTAAAATATATTTGGAAAACTTAACAATCTATTGAATAATAATTAAATCATCAGGCAATAGCTGCAGGTAGTATGAAAAGCAACCCATAATTTTGAATGTGAGATAATACATACTCAGAGGCTATATGCACTCTTTTGCACTTTCCTTATACGTTCATCAATAATATGCTTCCCATAGATTGATCACATGTGTTGAAATAGTCTATAAGCAAGTCAGGTGCTACAGAAACTATTCTGTTGATTTTCTTTCAGATATTTCACTTGACATTATGATTATAAACCTACCAAGATGAGTCCATTATTTCAAAACTCTCTTCCAAGGGCTCATCTCAATATTTCTTATTTTGACACATGTTGAAATTCTGCTTAATAGTGCTTTAAGATTTTTTATAGTTGAGATTACAACATTTCAGATGGGAGTCTTTTTTATAGTATTAAAGATAAAAGCATTATAGTTTCACTACAATGTCATAAAAATATTAAAGCTGATGTATGAAACTCGCAAATTAGTTTAATTCATTTCATAGCTCAGCAAGAGTTTGAGAAGTAACACACTTTTCATAATAACATTCAATGGATTAAACTGTCAGCTTGGATAGTATATTGCTAAAAAGATGGTCCCCAAGGAGCCAAACTTCATTCCACTAGTATGTGGTCTTTTAGCATCTGTGCTGCGTGTGAAGATGTTCTGTTTAGCGCCTTGTATGAAAGGAAAGAAAGGAAATATAAGACCCATCCATCCTTGTGCCTGATGGGTATCTCCCAGGAGGTACCCCAAAGTAGTAATTATTTTGTATATATTTTCATATCTCAGATGTCCGGTGGAAATTAACAGTTTCTTTGCTCAAATGAAGAAATGCTAACTTTCTTTTACAATCAATTTTTTAATATTTTTTTCGTTTTGGGGTTATTTTTGTCAGATTTGTTAGATTAAATTCAAATGATAATTTAGCTTTAGTTATGTTATGTTATGTTAAATCTATTTTCATTGAAAAAGGTTTTCAGTAATTTTGTATTGTGACAATTGGCACTGAAGCCTATAACACATATTATTGCAGCATTCTATAAATAAGAGTGATGGAGAATCTGGCTGTGTGACGTCTTTACTTTACTTCAAGTTTACCTAATAATTCTAGAGAAGCATCTCCTGATCAATATTCAATCTAATAACATGCATAGAAAATTTATGCCTCCATACTGTTGAGGACCTCAAAAATTACTTCTCTTCAGTTGAAAAACCCTGGTTGGAAAAATGCAAAAATAAAAGTTCAGATATAGACATATAACTACAGAACATTTAGTCATACTGAAATAAATCTCATGATTGCCTTTTCTGTTTACATTCCAAACTTGTTTAAAAGCCTGGAAACACATGTGCACAGACCAACAGACACTTACAGACAGACAGTCACAGACACCATACATACTATAAGAGGAATGAGAGAGAGAGAGAGAGAGAGAGAGAGAGAGAGAGAGAGAGAGAGAGAGAGAGAGAGATGCTTCTATTTCCTGCTAGAAAGGAGAAAACCTTGAATGAATTCCAATAAGCTTTATAAACACACTGCATTCTTTTACTCATGAGCTTCATCTACAAGTTCTTTCTTTCTTAGCTGATGAAGTTACTTGCCTTTTAATTGCAAGGAGGATGAATGTTGTAGGATAATGTTATAGGGATGACCTGCAGGTAAGCTTAGGTAACTATGTAATCCCATTACCCCCAGTAAAATGTTAGATGCTCTGCACACACTCATACCTCTTTTCTTTCTCATCCGATTTTAAGTCGGAGAAAAGATTGCAAACTCAATTAGCTAATGAAATTATGAATTCTCCATAAATTTTATTTTTGGTATATTAAGATATTTTGTATGTAACATAATCTGACTGTAGTTAATGAATGAAAATCACACCCATATTTCCAAGTGTTTACTGAATGAAATACTTTCTACTTCACAACTACAACAAATCCAAAGTATGAATCATTCACTACAGTTGTGGGAGTTAGCTCTCCACTAATTACAAAGCATAATTATAATAAGAAGTTAGATGTGGAAAAAAGTAAACATACATTTTACAGTACTTTTGACAGTGTTATAAGAATGAATTTTTATTAGCATGACTACAGTTGCAAAGACATTATTGTAAATAATGCATGCGTACAACTCTTATGTTATGGAGAAATAGTTTGATTTAAAAATATGAAGATTATATTTCATCTTAGACACTATGTGGATTTTTTTTCTTTTTGTAAACCCTTAGATGTTTCAGTACCTCACTTTTGCCCATGCAGAAAAGAGAGTGTGGAATATCTCCAAGCAATATAAATATTGGAAATTAACTTAGCTGTTTCTAAATAGCATATGGTTATGCAGGCTTGACTTTCTCCAAATGGTAAAGTGTGATATTTTCAAGCAGAGTGATTTCTCATTTCCCATGTCACACCCACATAGACATTATCTTAAACTTTGCTTCTGCAACCTGCTTAAGAACACAACGCCTTGAATGTCTGTACTTTCAAAATATAGAACATAAGAACTTTGAAATTCTTGATGTTTCTAAATGGAACACTAACTATTCAACAGAAGGCCATGTTCAGTACTCTCTAGAGAATCTTTTGTTGTTTTGAAAAATTCAGCTGCACTTTACTGGTTATTAAGTAATGAAAGTTTTTTTTCCAGTCTATATTTTCTGATTCTTAGCAATTTGTTTTATTTGCTTAAACTTTCTGTGCATAAATACAGATACACAGATGCACATACTACACACAGACAAACATACCCACATGTTCAGATACTTGTATGTTAAACATACATACCTACACACATATCTACAAAGACACACATGTACAGGCATCCATATATAAACACATATAAACATATACACATAAATCCATGTATGAACGCAATAGATTCATACTTTAGCAAGATTCTCCAGAGAAGAAGGTTGCTCAACTTCATAGAGCTATACTAACAATTTTAATGCACGAACAGATTAATAATAATACTATTTATCTAGTGCATATTCATGGTTTTAATATTTGCAATACACTCTTAATTCTACATTTTAAAATTCAGTATTTTCTGAACATTTCTTGTAAATTTTTGTTAAATACTTTACATTAAAATACCTTTAACTTTAGATATGTTAACTATTGTACAGAACTCATGTACACCCTCAGTTTTTTACAGATTATAAATTTCATATCTTATATACCATCCCATGTTTTGTCTAAAAAAATAAGTTATGACTATATATGTTTTTTAAGTAAAATATATTCTTGGATATCACTTTTGCTTGTCAATTTTTTTAAAAGGAGAGCATTTTCTTTTCATCTTTGTGGCCTTTGCAATTTTGGTAAATGTTTTTATAAATTAGCCATCCCTCTAAGTTTTTTAACACCTGAATAAATTGGTCTTGCAAAATAGGTTTATCAGGTAGTGTTTTTGTAGGCCACTTATAATTTAATTAACTTATTGCACTTTTATAATTCCTTTCTTACAATTTTCAAATGTTTTTATAATTCTCAAATACTCAAACTCTCATGAGGTTCTGTGCAGAGTAAAATATTTTGTCACATTTGGAAATTTTCCAGTGTATTCTGTTTA